ACACCCTATCACAGGGAAGCCATGTGAATGACATGAGAATATGAACTTAATTACTCCATATACCATTTGCCCACGGTAAATGGTCAGTTAACATGAGCTTTTATTTTTTTATCACACCCAACATTGGGATTCTGGAGTCAGACTGCCCGAGTTCAGAGCCTGCTCTGTCACTTTACAACCGTAGGCAAACATCTTTACCTCTCTGTGACTCAGTTGCCTCATCTGTAAAATGGGAATGGCACCAGTGCCTGTGTTACAGGGTTGCTGTAGGAATGAAGGCAGCTGACACAGGTATGGCTTCTGGAAAAGGATGTGAGGTTGGCTATAGTGACTGCTCTTAAGTATCACCTGTTGCTGGGACATTTTGGAAGCCAGCCTTCTGGGTGAGCATATTTGCGTGGTTCAGTTTCAAACCTGGTCTTTCCCTGGAGTTTCAGGGGTAGACATGGCAGGTCTCTGGTGGGGGAGGGACCCAATACATTGTGACTCTGGTTGAAATGCTGCTCTAGTGTCACCAACTGAGGGTGCCCTGGGACTTGCAGCTGGTGATATGGGCACCCAAAACCTGGGTTCTTTCCGCTTCACCTGCCCCTTGATTCTCTCCCTGGGCAGCTCTGCCTGCCACAGTGAGAGGCTTAGAGAACTGAGGGGTTTCCTCCAGTGTGGGACAGCTTCATATACTATATTTAGACAGACAATCCATAGAAAGGAAGAGTGGTTCCTAAATCCAGGCTAGGCCACTCTAATTTGGAGGCCAGGATTTACTTCCCTTCCAGGCTCTGGACCCTACTGCCCCCCAACCCCAGGATGCTCAAAAGCCAAGATCCTTTCTCTCTGGATTCCCTATGTCCTGAGTTCATTCATTCATTCAGTCATCTGTTTACTCAACCAGTACTTACTGAGTGCCTACTGTATGCCAGGAACTGTCCCCAGCATCAGGAGACAACTGAGAACAAACAAACAATTCCTGTTCCTTTGGGGCTGACATTCTGCTTGGGGAGCCCAATAAATATGTAAAACATATAGTTATTTCAGATGATGAAAAGTACCATGGAGAAAAACAAGTAGAGAAGGGGATACGAAGTGCTGGGTGCCATGGGAGTTTGCATTTCTAAGTAGAGGGCCAGGGAAGGTCTCATAAGAAGGCAACGTTTGAGCAGAGACCAGAGGGAAGGGGGATTGGGGCCTCTGAGATGGAGGGAAAGGGCTTTCCTGGCAGAGGTGATAAAAAGCCTTGAGATGAGACAGGCTTGGAGTGAGGCGGAACGGGAAGGAGGCTGGTGTGGCTGGAGCCCAGTGAAGGGAGGCAGGTCCTACAGGGCCTTGAAGGCCACTCTCAGGACATTGGCTTTTTTTCAGAGTGAAGTGGGAGCCTTGGAGGGCTCTGAGCAGAATGATGTGGTCTGACTTGGGCTATCGTAGGATTCCTCCAGCTGCTCTAGAGCAGTAGATTAAGTTCAAATATATCTGACACAGTCCTGGAATGGGACGTGGAGATACCGCCCTGGACCCTGACTCAGTCATTTGTTCACTCAGTAGAAGCTTTATTGAGCCCATCTTGGGTGTCAGGGTGGGGCTGGAGCCCTGGAGGCACAGAGACAGTAAGTCTCTGTCCCCATCCTGCTCAGTTCAATAAGGTAAACGCATCACTTATTCAATTACTTGGTGTGAGCAAATGCAGGAGAAAGCAGAATTGGTTGGAAGTGAAAAATATGACTTGGAAAGTTGAGGAAGACGTACAGGAATTAGAGATTCCCTCAAACTAGCTTAACCTAAAAAAAAGAGTGGGGTGTTATTTATTGGTCACTGAAAAGTCCACAGCTTCAGGCATGGTTGGATCTAGGGGCTCAGGCAGTGTTGTCAGGAATCCCTCCCAAGGGGAGATGGCCCCCAGCTGCTCTAGGCAGGTAAACTACCAGCTCAGTACCCCAAGTAAGCAAACACCCTGGACTGGACTGGCTCTCACTGGCTCAGGTTCAGCCACGTGACGTTCACCACTGTCCAAGGCCGGGGAACCTGCTGGCTGATCAGATCTGGGTCATGGACACACCTCTGGAGCTGGATGGTGGGGGTGGAGTAGGGAGGTCATCTCTACCCCAGATCCGGAGGCAGAGCTGAAGACGGGACAGGGAAGGGCAGCTCCCCACAGAGCCGGCGAGACTGATGCCAAATAACAGACGTGTATTATCAGAGGCCCCCCGGGATAAGGATGAGTGGGCATTTGGGAAACACGGGTGGAGCAGGAGAGGGAGAGGAGGCACATGCAGAGGCAGAGCGGCATGAAAATCTACGGTGTGTGCCGGGAACCAGTGTTTGCAGGGTGTGTTGGAGAGGTGGGGACAGGGGTGGGGAGGAGAGGTGGCCAAGGAGTTGGGCTGGGGCCACCAGCTTGTGAAGGGCCTGGGAGGTCATGCTAAGGAGTTAGGACTTAATGGAGCATGTGGTGGGAGCCTTGGAAAGCTTAAGGAAGAGAATCCTCTTCCCCCATCTTTCTAGCGGCCCTGACTCATCTGAGGCTGTCCTTCACAGCTCCATGGGTCAGTAGCACTTCACCACGCTTTGTGACTTGGGATTTTCCTGAGAACTTTATTTCCCCTCCACATCTGCCCCCTATGCCCCTGCTCTCTCTCACACCCCACCTATCTCTGATCGGCCCTTCTTGCTTGAAGTCAATCCAGCAAAGCTCTTAAGTGCATGGGTTTGGGAATCAGATGGGTCAGCGTCTGAGTTCTGATCCTGTTGCTTCCCAGCTGTGAGAACACTCTGAGCCTTAGTTTTCCCATCTGTCAAATGGGGATAATTGTAGCAGTACCACCTAGAGTTGTTACGAAGATAAATTGAGAGAAGGCACCTAAAGTCTTTGCAGAGAGGAAATACTCCATCAATGACACTTGTTATTATTACTGTTTGATCTCACTTTTATTTTTGCTGTTCTGCTCTTACCACTGCGACCTGAACCTGTCCTGCTGCATTTTCCAGCAGAACCCGTGGACAGTCAGCTTTGCCTGTGAGCCCTTTGGCTGGGTTCCCATTCACCTCAAGAAGAGCCCAGGAAATGGCAGAAAAATTCTGTGTTTTCACTTGATTGCCTCACGTGGCCTGGAAGAACCTTCCCTTCTGGCAGTAAACTCCAGAAACCGAGGGAGGTGGGGCAGAGGGAGGTGAAGAAGGGGCAGGACCTGGGCAGCATAATCTCCCCAGAGTATTTACTGATGGTCATGAAGAGGAAGGACAAGGCCAGCCAGGGAATGGTAGGAGGCTATTCCCTGGGGGGCAGAGGTGATGGGGAGAAAGGTGAGCAGAAAGTGGGGAGTGATTCCTCTACCCATGAAACTCCTCCCCGCTGCACAAAAATTGCCTAACATAGATGGAGCGAGGCAGAAGTAAGAGAACAGGGTGAAATCTTAGTATGCCAAGGTATAATAATGGAGTGGTTAAGGGCAGGGATTGTGGAGCCAGACCACCTGGCTTTGAATCTAGACACAGCTACTCACTACTCTTGACCTTAGGCAAGTCTCTGATGATCAGTTTACTCGTTCATAAATAATACAAAAGCCCACCTCATAAGGTTGTGGTGAGAATTAAATGAGCTATTACACTAAAAGTGCTCAAAGCAGTGCCTGGTCCAGATCAAACACTCCATAAATCTGGCTATAATGTTATGAATGTTCTTGTCAGGTCCAGGTGGGGATGGGTGAGACAGATACATCTGGATTACTCCTGACGCTTCCAGAAATATTTGTTTATGTATGTGAATTAAAAATTAAGAGCAACCCGTTTAACTGCTCTGCCAATATGGTAGCTGCTGGCCACATGTGGCTATTTTCACACTTAATTAAAATTAAATATAAATTAAAAACGCAGTTCCTTAATCACATTGGCCACATTTTATTTTACTTTTTTTAAACGTGGCTTCCATTATTATTAATATATTTCTTCATTTACTTAATCCAAGAATACACAGAAAGTAGTTTTATTTTTTTAATATTTATTTATTTGGTTGCATGGGTCTTAGTTGTAGCACACGGGCTCCTTAGTTGTGGCAGGTGGGCTCCTTAGTTGTGGCTCCAGGGCTCTTTAGTTGCAGCTCACCGCCTCCTTAGTTGTAGCATGTGGGCTCCTTAGTTGCGGCTCAGGGGCTCCTCAGTTGTGGCAGGCGAACTCTTAGTTGCGGCATGTATGGGGGATCTAGTTCCCTGACCAGGGATCGAAACCGGGCCCCTTGCAATGGGAGCGTGGAGTCTTAAACACTGGACTGCCAGGGAATTCCCTTCTCTGCCTTTTTTTTTTTTTTAAACGACATCCATCACCACCTGAAATTATATTATATATTAATTCATTTATCATTTGCCTTTTTCTACTAGAATGTCAGATCTTTGAAAACACCATTGTATTGCCAGCCCCAAGAACACTGCCTGGTGTGTTGTAGATGCCAGATAAATTTTGGAATGATTGGATGGATGCATGAATAGATGGGTGTGTGTCTGGGTAAATAAGGGATGGAATACAAAGATGGGTGGATAGATGGATCAAAAAATGGATGGATGTTTGGGTGAATTAAGGGGAAGATAAATGGGCCAATGAATGGATGAAAATGTGGTGGATGGAGTAGATAGATGGATGGAGGAGTGAATGATGAAGGGCTGGGTGGATAGATTGATTAGTAAATAGATGGGTGAATGAATGGAGTGGATGGATGAAGAAAGAAGTGGCTGGGTAGATGGATGGATGGATGAATGGGTGAAGTAGATGGACAGAAGGAAGGATGGAGGGAGAAATGGATGAAGGAAGAAGTGGATGAATGGATGGATGGATGGAGAGATGGATGGAATGAAGGAAGAAGTGAACGAATGGGTGGATGCATGCATGCGTGGGTATGTGGATAAATGGGTGAATGGATGGATTAGATAGTTGGAAGGATGGACGGACAAAGCAAGAAGTGGTTGAATGGATGATGGATGGATGGATGAATAAATGAATAGATGGATGGGTGTAGTAGAAGGATACATGAATAGATGGAGAGATGGAGGGGTGGACAGAGGGAGAGGAGGTTGCGTGGATGCTCTGGCAGGAAACATTCTGGACTCTGTCCCTGTTACTTTTGTTTTCCAGGCCGACCCTCACTCTTCCTGGCACTGTGTGCCTCTGTGTCTTTGCTGGGTGGCCTGACCTTTGGCTATGAACTGGCAGTCATATCGGGTGCCCTACTGCCACTTCAGCTTGACTTTGGGCTAAGCTGCTCAGAACAGGAGCTCCTGGTGGGCAGTCTGCTCCTGGGGGCTCTCCTTGCCTCCCTGGTAGGGGGCTTCCTCATCGACCGCTATGGCAGGAAGCAAGCCATCCTTGGGAGCAACTTGGTGCTGTTGGCAGGCAGCCTGAGCCTGAGCCTGGCCAGCTCCCTGGCCTGGCTGGTCCTGGGCCGCTCAGTGGCTGGCTTTGCCATCTCCCTCTCCTCCATGGCCTGCTGTATCTACGTGTCAGAGCTGGTGGGGCCACAGCAGCGGGGAGTGCTGGTGTCCCTCTACGAGGCAGGCGTCACCGTGGGCATCCTGCTCTCCTATGCACTCAACTACGTGCTGGCCGGTGCCCTCTGGGGCTGGAGGCATATGTTTGGCTGGGCCACTGCGCCTGCTCTCCTGCAGTCCCTCAGCCTCCTCCTCCTGCCCCCTGGTACAGTTGATGCTGCAGCCCACAGGGACCTCATCCCCCTCCAGGGAGGCGAGGCCACGAAGCTGGGCCTGGGGAGGCCAAGATACTCCTTCCTGGACCTCTTCAGGACCAGGGATAACATGAGAGGCCGGACCATGGTGGGGCTGGGGCTGGTGCTTTTCCAGCAGCTAACAGGGCAGCCCAACGTGCTGTGCTACGCCTCCACCATCTTCCATTCAGTCGGCTTCCGTGGGGCCTCCTCGGCTGTGCTGGCCTCCGTGGGGCTTGGCGCCGTGAAGGTGGCAGCCACCCTGACCGCCATGGGGCTGGTGGACCGAGTGGGCCGCAGGGCCCTGTTAATCGCTGGCTGTGCCCTCATGGCCCTGTCGGTCAGTGGCATAGGCCTTGTCAGCTTTGCTGTGCCCATGGACTCAGGCCCAAGTTGCCTGGCCGTGCCCAATGCCACTCGGCTGTCAGGCTTCCCTGTTGACTCTGGCCTGCCCAGTGGCTTGGCCCCGCCTCTGCGGCCAATGACCGACCAGAGCCCAGGGCGGCCAGTCTTGTCAACCTCTGAGAAAACCAAGCCTCATCCGGGAGCTGGGGACCCCACTGCCCTTCCTCTGCCAGCCTTAAGCATCGTGCCCGCTGCACCCCCTTCTCCTGCCCCTGAGCATGCCCTGCTGCACTGGACCGCACTGGTCTGCATGATGCTGTTTGTGAGCGCCTTCTCCTTTAGCTTTGGACCAGGTAAGTGGGAGTTCTCTTGCAGGTAACTCTGGAGCCTTCCACCTCTCCTAGTGGGAAGCCTGGGGACCGAATCCATCAGGGTCTCAGAGGGACTAGAGGTGGCTTGGCCATGAGAACAATGAACTCAGATTTCAGGGCTCCTTGCTTCTCTGAAGGTACTTCTTCCGAGGGCAGAGGCCTAATTTATGTTTGTAATATTTTCTTTCTTATAAAGGCCCCTAAGCTTCAGGCCTCATAAAACCAGAATGTGCCCCTGGATAGCTCACTCAGAAGGGTTTTAGCTGGAAAGGAATTTAATGAATAGGGTGACCAACCATCCCAGTTTGCCCAGGACACTGAAAGTCTGATGTCCCGGGAAACCCCTCAGTTTTCTGGGCAAACCCAGCTGCAGCCTAAGAGTCCTCCCTGCTCTCCTGTCCTAGTGACCTGGCTTGTCCTCAGCGAGGTTTACCCCGTGGAGATCCGAGGGCGAGCCTTTGCCTTCTGCAACAGCTTCAACTGGGCTGCCAACCTCTTCATCAGCCTCTCCTTCCTTGACCTCATTGGTGAGTCCTCTGACCTAATCCCTTGGCCCGGTTCCTTTAAGATCCAGAAACAACTGCCTCCAGACAGAGCCTGGGCCTCCATATCGTCCAGGTATAAGTCACAGAAAACCCCAGAACGCCAGGGAAGGGTCTCTGAGACGCTGAGGATGCTCCTGACCCAAGGCCAGTGGTCATCGAGGCCAAAGTGGGCGGGGCTCCTTCCCTGCAGGGCCCCAAGGCACAGTTCTTAGGGTTTAGTTATTTTCCCATTTCCTGCACCCACGTGTTTCCTCTTCAAAGGAGGAGCCCTGGGGGACTGTGAGAAATACTGGTAGAAGAACCCACCCACCATGCCTGTCTGCCATACACAGTCTCTGGGAATCCAAGCTTCTCCCTGGTGCCTCAGTCTTCAAGCATCCCCTTTATGTGGGATGAATGAGTGAGAAAGAGAGAGGAAGGAGGGAAGGAAGGAAGGGGGGGAAAGAGGGAGGGAGGGAGGGAGAGAGGGGAGGAGGGAGGGAGGGAGGGAGAGAGGGGAGGAGGGAGGGAGGGAGGGAGAGAGGGGAGGAGGGAGGGAGAGAGGGGAGGAGGGAGGGAGGGAGGGCTTATTAGAACTGTATCATATCCCTATCATCCCCATCTCACAGACTGGAAAATATGTCCTTCCCAAGTCTAGCCAGGCAGTTAGTTAGAAGACTAGAACCCAGTCTTCCTTCTCCCAGCCCAGCACTCTCCCTGCTGGAATAAGGATTAAGTGGAGGTCAAGCTGGCTAAGGGTGGCTGCTCGGAGGCGGTGCGGCCCTGGCTGTTGGAGGTGAGAATGGTGTCTGAAACGTAATTAGTGCTTCTGCCTCCACAGCCTTCTGGATGGAGCTGAGGCTTCTGCCTTCTCTCGCAAAGCAGTCACACGCCAAATTGGCTGAATGCTTGATTCATTGAAAAACCAATTCATGGAATTTCTGAGGATGGTTTCTTGGAGCTGAGCTTTGCCAAGGCTGCCCCCGCAGCTGTTGTGCTGCTGAGGTGGATGTCATTTTCCCTCCATGCACATTTTCAGGGGCCAAGTGTGCACCTCTGGTTAGTGTATGGCCAAGATGTTGGTGGATTTGGGCCCCGGCCCTTTGCCTACCTCTGGGACAACCAGTCCTACTCCTGCTTTAAGATACTTTTATCTCACAGCGTGTTAGTCATTCTGCAAATCTACCATCTAGAGGATCTGCTTTGGGTGAACTGATTTTCAGTGTTCGAGGAGTTGGCCCAGGCTGTGCCCTGCCCACACTCCCACCCCGTTTTTCCCAGGTGCCATTGGCCTGTCCTGGACCTTCCTGCTCTACGGGCTGACTGCTGTCTTCGGCCTGGGCTTCATCTATTTATTTGTCCCTGAAACTAAAGGCCAGTCATTGACAGAGATAGACCAGCAATTCCAGAAGAGACGGTAAGGGGGCCAGGGCTAGCCTGGGGGGAAGAGTGGCATCAAACCCTGAGCACTTTGCTTCAGGATTTTAGCCATTACACTTTCCCTTTGCAAAAGAGTGTTTTTCTTCTCTTCCTGGTGTTCTTACTGCCTGGATACAGTGAGTTTTGTCCTGTCTTCATACATGAACTCTTTTCCTTGAGTTGTTTTGTGTCTTCCTACAGCAGAGTTTTATTTGACTTTGAGCTCAGCTCATAGGAATTTAAAAATCATGCAGTTATGGACTCATAGGAGGTTAGAATAGTTAGATCCTAAAACCACAGACTCTTAGAGTCATGGAAGCTCAGAGAAACAAAATATTATAATCATGGCCTTTTGAATCACACACAAAGAACTCTGAGCATAATCTACTCATTCAGTGGGTGTTAATATGCCACACAGTGTTCGGGGTGTAGGAAATGTGTCTGAAAATAAGATGGAGACGGTCCTTGTCCTCACCGAACTTCCATTCTAGTAGGGGAGGGGAACAGAAAATAAGCCAGTGAATGCAGCAACAAAAGCATTTCAGTTAGTGATGAGTAGCTGGAAGAAAAGGAAACAGAGCAAGATATATTGAGAGGGTCTGGTTGGTGGAGAGGGAGACAGAGGGGCACAGGGTTGTGGCTAAATCAGAGTGGGTGGTCAGAGAGGGATGCCCTGAGTAGGTACCATTTAAGTGAATGCGAAGGAGGCAGCCACGTAAAGATGAGGCAGGGCGAGGCTTCCAGGTAGAGGGAGCAGCAGGTGCAAAGACCCTGAGGTTGGGAGTGTATCTGGCATATGCAAGGAACAACAAGGAAGCCAGGGTAGCTGGACCAGAGAGAGCAAGGAGGGAAGAGAGGAGGAGAGAAGATCAGATTGGCCAAGTGGGTAGGAGCTAGATCACATAAGGTCTGTAGGTCCTAGACAGGTTCAAAACCTTAGCATCAGGGACCTTGGGCTGTTGAAATAAAGAGTACTGGGGGGTGTCAGAAGGGACCTGAAACCACCATAATCCTAAACATCCTTGGCAAGTGCCCCAGGTTGCCTGTTGTCGTAAAGGGAGTCACCAGCGTCTGACTGCCCATTCTATTCCTGGGAGGCCCTAACAAATTAAAAGGGTAAATCATTCTAATGGTGAGTTGGAACTTGCCTCCCTGCAGCTTCCTGCCAAGCCCCAACCTGGCCCCCAAAGGGATGCAGAACGAGTGCATGTAAAACTTCAAACCTGGTCCACCCCACCCCAGAGTGTTCTCTGCGAGCCACACACTCCCAGTTTGTTGCATGACACCTGCGGGGCCCTCAGCAGTCCAGCCGTATTAGTTAGGAGACAGATTTGGCTGCTTGGAATAGGCTGAATATAGGGGGCCCGGGGCTGGCGTTGAAGCTGTGCTTCAAGGGGTCATCCAGGGTCCCAGGCTCCTTCTCTCTTGTTGCTCTGCCACCTCTTCAGTATAAACTTTTCCGCATGGCCCGTGGGAGCCACCACCTCCCTGAAAGAGGGAAGGGGAAGAGGAGGACGCACAACCTGAAAGATCCACACGTCACTTCTACCTACAACCCTTTGGACGGAACTTGGCCACATCCACCTGCAGGGGTGGCTGAAAAACATGGTCTTTAATCTGGGTCCATGTGCTCACCTAAACATCGAGGGTGCTGTTACTAGACATAAAGGAGGGACAGATACTAGGAGTCACCTGGAATCTCTGCCATACCGGCTTTCTTGGGAGAAGATTCCAGACCCCTCCTCTGGAATAAGAAGCTAAGGAGGCAGAAAGGCAGGCAGAAGCCAGCTTTAGGGTGAGGCAGGAGGGAATTGAAGCTCAGAGGAACACTGAGCTGGACCGGGGGACTCAGGAGCCTGGGCCAGACCTTGGGGAAAGCAGGCTGGATCTTCTACAGCCTCAGGAAAAGACAGGAAGTTAGGGGCTTTGGCTGGGTCCAGAGCCAAGTTTGGCTGGGTGAGTCATCAATCCAGTCCTTACCGTTCAGGGGGCCCCTGATATCACAGGCCACAGAGAGAGAAAGAAACTCAACCGTGGGGAGCATGGGGACACGGGAAGCTCCAGAGATCTTGCAAGCAAGCACTAATGGGACCCTCCTTCCAGCACCAACTGTTCTCAGTGCTGTGTTGCTCCCTACAAGAATCACATCCCCAGGAGAAAGTCTGATTGGCTAAGCCTGGTTTATATGCCCACCTCCCTAACGCCCAAATTGGCCAGGATAGGGCAAGCCGCCTCTATTGACAGTCCTACGAAGATCACATGCAACAGAGGAGACCTAGAGCCCCAAGGAGACGAGAGGATGGAGGCTGGATGGAGCCACCATCCACTGCTGTGGGGTTTACTTCTATTCGTGTCCTCATGCTGCAGATGTGCTTGTTGGAAATGGGGACCTGCAGCTTAACGGTCTATTTCCTCTGCTCCTTTAGAGAGACATTAGCAACCGAGGGGCTCAGACGCCCTTGCCATCCGTGGCCACTGAGTGCCATAAGCATGTTCCTTTCCCTTTCACATCAGGTTACTTGGGTTCAGAAGAGACCTTTCCATTCCCAGGGTGATATGATCACCAAAAGAGCTTTCAAAAATCTTTTATCCCAATTTCTCAGGAATCCGTTCATTCACTTTCAGCAAATATTTTCCAAGTGCCAGCTAGGAGCCAGGGACTGTACTAGGCTCACGGGACAGACCTGTGACCAAGAGACACTGTGTCTCTGGACTGAGGAGGAAGTTACATTTTAATGGAAAGGGGGGAGAGGGATTACAGGACACCCAAATGCATGAATAAGATAAATGAGAGTGGGGTTTATATCATGAGGAAAATAAGGCAGGTTAACTGTCAGAGAGCGAACAGTGGATTTGGGGGCAGTGTGGAACTTTCCATTTCTTCAGCTAGGGTCCAAGTGTACCATGGGTACATTAATGACGCAAGTTGATCGTGAGCTCTTCATGACATTGAAGGACATTTTTGTGTACCTGTTATGTTCACTGCTCTATTCCCAGGGCCTAGAACAGTGCTTGGCCCATGACAGGCCAGCAGTGACTCTAGCTCTAGTGAATGAATGAAAGGATGCTCAACGAAGGCCTCTGCGAAGAGGTGGCAATTGAGCTGAGACCTGAATACTGAGCAAAAGCCATCTTTTCCAAGAGCTGGAAGAGAGTGTTCTGGGCAGAGGGAACAGCCAGAGCAAAGGCCCCGAGGTGGGAACAAGCTGGGGGTTTTGAAGAGCAAGGAGGAGACCCATGTGGCCGGGGTGGAATGGGAAGATGGGACTGGAGGGTGGTGACACGGGAGAGGCCGGCTGCAGAGAGGGGCTTGGATGCGAGGCTGAGAGTTACGTCATTTCTCAGCAGGAGTGACAGGGGCTGGTCTTCGTGCTTAGAAAGGTCAGTCCTGTGATTAGGAGAGCCGGCTGTAGGAGGCGTGGGTGGACACAGGAAGACCTGGGGGAGCGGCTGGGTGGTCCAGAAGATGGAAATGCGCATTAAGGCAGGAAGCAGGGAGGGTCAGGTAGGAGTGGGGTGGGGATGGGATGGGGATCCCATGTATGGTCCACTCGCATCACCCCCCGGCGAAGGCCACCAGGCCCCGTCACCCTGTGACCCCACTTACTCTCTGCTCTCCAGGTTCGCCCTGAGCTTTGGCCACAGGCAGAGCTCGGCTGGCATCCAGTACAGCCGAATTGAGCCCTCTGCGGCCTGCTGAGGGGTCCATCTGGAAAATGCTGGAACCATGGCTTTAGCAGACAGTCTTCAGCTTCCTGCTTGCCTGGGTGCCAGAGCACAAGTTCTAGGTGGTCCTTCAAGAGGCACCCCTGCTCCGGAAGAGGTCTGTTTTGCTGGGGCAAAAGGGATGAAAATCTGAAAACTCAGGAGTCTTCAGGTGGAGTCTCAGGCTCTGAGGGCTCCTGAGGCTCTGCCTTCCTGCCTCAGTTTCCCCACTGACTCTGCGCATCTCTGCAGTAATGAACTTATGGTGAGAACATCTTATGGAGACTCCGTTGGTCTACGGGCTTTCTCAAAGAGTCTCGAGGGTACCACCCCGGCAGGAAGTCTCTCCTGGAATCACCCCTAAATCCAGCTGAGGATACCATATTCTCTGCTCTCTTTTTCCATCTGGTTGGGACTTTCTGGGGAGGGGGAAGCCTGCTTTTTGGCTCTCAGATCTCATTTTGTTCAACCCCTCTAATTCTCTTACCTGGAATATTTGTCATTCACCAGCAACTCAGATGGTTGGTAGGAGTTCTAGTCCTGAGTTCAAGGCCTGAGACTGCTGGTGTTCTTGCTGTCTGACTGGGGATCTCAGCTTTCCCTGTATGTACAATGGGAGCTCTGAACCAGGTGGTTCTTAAGATCTGTTCTGATGCCAATGAGCTGGAATTCTAAGTGCTGGCAATACCACAGATATTCAGCATGGGTCCTGCTCTCAAGTTGTTAGTCATCTCTTTCAGGGACATAGGTTTTAATTAGAGGAAAGGTGAACAGAATTCCAGAGCTGTGTGCACTAAAATCCAAGGACCATCCTAGTGCAGGTCACGAGCTCCAAGAGCTGTTTCCAGGATGGCGCTGGAGGACTTTGCAGAAAGGAGATGGGTCTGGAAGCTAACAAACCTGGTTGTCGGTGTGGCCTCCACCTCTTGGCAGCTAGTGACCCTGGATAAGTAACAGCTCCCTTAAGCCTCAGTTTCCACATCTACAGAATGGGGATGACTATGCCCCCAGGGGTGTATTTAACCTCTGTCTCCCATCAGGAGGGTCTTCATTTGGTCCCATTCAGCTGGTCAGGATGGATGGGATTTCTGCTCACCCTCAATACCCGGGTCCCCACCTTTGCGACGTTGTAAAGGGTCACCCCCCGCAAGGGGTGAGTCAGACGGAGACTGAGCAAGTAGCTCCTCTCCCACAGGACTCTGGCCTCCCCTGAGTCCTTGTCTCTCATTTCTAGCTACTTCCCTTAGATCCAGTGGTGTGTTGGAGCTGGCTTGTGCTGGCTTGTGAGAGCTGATTGTTAAATTTTCAGGAGTTTTGCAAGCTCGTTGTTAAACATAGCTGCTAAAAAATTAAATTATTTAAATTTATACTTAAATAAATTATATTAAAACCGAGGTAATACATACTAAAAACTCATCACTTCCTTATTTTACTACATTTTGCTCTCATCTGTGCTCTTAAGGTAATTTACACCTATTGCCTCGCATGAGGAACGTGGGGTAAGGGCACTGCCCATCCCTTGCCGGGTCTGCCTTCAGTGACCCACGGGGAGTGTATTTGCACCGCAGGGACTGGGGAACACCACAGATCAGGGCTTGATTTGTCGTTTTGTTGATTGTCCAGTCTTAAGAATGTGATGGATACAATGTTAATAATGTAAATTAAACTTAACAGTGTGTTCTGTCTGTAGTTGATACATTGTGAACGGCACAAAAAATGGAGGGGATTATTATCCAGTTCAGCCAACAGGTGACTCATGTCACTGGTGAAGGAGTTTGGACACAAGTCTTTGTTGTTTTACTTTCGTCTTATTCATTAACACGAACAAACATTTCAACTAGCATTCATGTCAGAACTGCATTCACGCTTCAGTGACGTCAGCAACTTCTTTGCTGAGTCATACTGTTGTCAAGCATTTCTTCGTGGTCTAATTTTGTTAAATCATGGCTAAATTGCAGTGACAGTTGGCTTTGGAATCAAGAGGTTGGCAGAAAAATCAACAAAAACATTTCTGTGAGAATTAATTGGCTAGATGGCATTTACAATAAAGAGTATTTACAATAAAGTATTATTATTTGTAAATTTTCAATTTTTTTTTTTTTTGTGGTACGCGGGCCTCTCACTGTTGTGGCCTCTCCCGTCGTGGAGCACAGGCTCTGGACGCGCAGGCTCAGCGGCCATGGCTCACGGGCCCAGCCGCTCCACAGCATGTGGGATCTTCCCGGACCGGGGCACAAACCCGCGTCTCCTGCATCGGCAGGCGGACTCCCAGCCACTGTGCCACCAGGGGAGCCCAATTTGTCAATTTTGTGCAACAAACACATCCTTTATTCCAGTAAAATTTACACACACACACACACATTTTTTCCCTGGAGAGCAGTTATTAGACATTTGCCAGCCCATCACTGCTTACAGCTGTCCTTTTGGCCCCTTCAGATCTAATTCTCTACTCAGGGATCCCCAAACCTTCTCAGTTCTCCTTTCCTATCAGCCTAGGAGAATGCTCTTCTGGTCTTAGGGTGGTTTCTTCTCTTTTTTGTTCAGGGTCATAAACTCATAGATCAGGTGGGGGATGTAGGTGAGTGAAGTCCACTGTGGTAAGACAATAGGAGTAGTGAGGTCTGTGGAAACAGGTGAACACAGGCCTCTCTATCAGGGATGACTGACACTCAAGTCCAGCTGGTGCCTGCCATGAAGGAATGTGAGCCCATTGTGGCCTGACCATCTGAATTAAAAAAAAAAAAAAATCCAGTAATTCAGACTTTGGTGTAAAATTTCCTGATTTTTTAATAGTGGCAACTGATTCTTAATTGAAAAAATCATTTTTTAAGCTCAACTCAACACACCTGTGGCTAAATCACAGCCTTTAGTTTGTCCCTCCGTCCTTGATGTCCTGTGAGATATTCTTTTCTTCTGGGTTTTTGAGGATCCCAGCTTAAATCAGAGCAAAGCAAGTAGCCAAGTAGCCGAGTAGCCAAGCAGCTTGAATTGAATAGGTGGGAGGGGTGTTACTGAACATGAAGGGAAAGAGACATTAAGGGGAAAATGGTTGAAATCTCAAACATATTACCCTGGGACAACTAGGTGTGTGACTTGGGTAACTGCTCATCTGTATAATGGGGACGATACTACTCACTATACAGAGATGATGCCTGTCAATCACTAGTTCAGGGCTGGGCTCATCGCAGGTGCTCAAAAATGGCTGAGTAAGTGCCCCAGCAGCCTCCAGGGGCATCTGGCCCTGGGTGGGGAGAACAGTGAGGGCAGTTCAGAAAGGGGAAGAGCATCAGAGAAATCTACAATTTGAGGGTACCTACTAGGTGGTCAGAAATTGTGAGCACCAACCAGAAAAGTGATGTGATCTGTTCGTTGATCTGCAGGGTGGGGACTGGGTAGCTCTCCTTCTCCCAGATAATCCCAGAATCACTTCAGGGAAGCCTTTCCCAAATCCTACTCTCATGCAGAGCCTTTCACCTGTGTGCCCATCACCTAGCACCTTCCTGTAGCTTCTCACATTGCACTACACAGACTACTTACTGAACGCTCTAAAGTGATTTGCTTTTCAACTTAAATAGACAGATTTTAAAAGGAAGCTATATTAATTTATTTTTTCACTCAAATGCATATTTATTGTGCTTCTACTGTGTGCTGGACACTGTTCTAGACCCTGAGGGCACAGCAGGGAACAAGACGAAGAGCGGTCATCTTAGTGGGGGAGATAGATTGGAAACAAGAGCTAGAAATGGGGTGGGTGGAGGGAGAGGGGGAGGAAGGGGAGGGAAGGAGGTGGGGGAAGAGGAAAGAAGGAAAGGAGGGAGGGGGGAAGGAAGGAAGGAAGGAGAGAAAAAGAGAGAGAGATGCATGTCAGTTAGTGATGCTTATCAGAGAGAACCCGTTTGAGGTGGTGGCGCCTGAGCACAGATCTATATGATCTAGAGGAAGCCATGGAAGGATCTGGGGCAAGAGTATCCCAGGCAGCTGGCCCAGCATGTGCAAAGGCCCTGAGGTAAGACTGAGATTCCATCTTGGAGGAATGCCAAGGAGGAGCGAGTGGAGGGTAGAGTGATGGCAGAAGACAAGCGGGAAGTCAGCAGGGATCAGGTCATGAAAAGCTTCCAGAAAACAGAAGCATTTCAGACTTTCCTCTAAGCATACCAGGAAGCCACCGCAGAACTTTGAACAGTGGACTGACACGATCAGACTTAATGCTGTCAAATACCCTTTGTTGGTGATGTTGGTGAGTATCAAAAAACAAATGAATGTCAATAACAGAAGTAGAAAGAAACCCAGTTTCACTGAATTCTCACGAAATACTGTCATCTACTGAGGGCTCTGAACTTAAGGCCTCCTCTGTGGTGAAAAAGGGGGCTTAGCAAGTGTGAGAGAGGTGTAGCACCGACCTAAGATTGTGTCTGGATTGAAAGAACAGTGGTGTGATTCAGCACATTTATATGATGGTTGTGAACCATCTAAAAGCATTTCCAGTGCCACGGGCGATATGCTTCTCAGTCTTTGGTTAATGCAGTGCTACGGTGAGATGATCAAGGAAGTCATAAGCACCAAGAAAGAGACAGGGGGCCTCAGTTACTCTCACATCAGACCCTCCTGGAGAGGAGCATTGGCAGTGTCACCCTGGAACCAGTGAGACACCAGCGAGGTCCCCACAACAAGTGTCCTTCAAGGAGGAGTGAAGGGATGGGGGGATGGGTTCCTCCAGGAGAGGAGCAGGCTGTGTACACCCACTTAGCATCTTATCTTCCAAGGGGCTGGCCTTTCATGGGACGAGATGTGAAACCAAACACAGCCTGTGCCTGAGGTCATGGGTCATCAGACCTGGAAAGGAAATCTCCACCCCTACTTTGCAGGTTAGGAAACCAAGGCTTACAAGGCTGACGACTGACCCTCTCCTCTCCAGCTCCCGCATCCGCTTGGATGACCCCTCATCAGCACAGCTCTTCCAGGCTCTGTACCTGCCATCCCAGCGGCCTCCTGCTGCACTTTACCTGCTCCGTCCTGAACATGGTCAACCTCAAACACTACTCACCCTTAATATTTTATATCAAACATCCCACTTCCTGGTCACCACGTACTAACTTTTCTCCTAATACTCGAATGCTCCCCAAGGCAATAATTCTCTGACCTCACTGAGATCTTTCACCTCTAAATGCAGATCCCTGACCCCAGGGATTTTGCTTTACCAAAATCCATCAAGAAGTTCGCGGGCTTCATTCTCCTTCTTGTCCAATCTAGATCCCATATCCCAACCTTAGAATCAATCCCTGCAAACAACCTCGTGTAGATTAGTCACACTAATGCTGGATTAATGTACATACCTGCTGCACATAGGCAGAAAGGTCAGACAGCCTGACAAACAGGTTTCACTTGGAACCCAGGAACTCAAACCTCATACTCACCCTCCAAATGCTCCTTCTTCACAGCAAAGGAAATACTCAATAAGTTGAAAAGGCAACCTACAGAATGGAAGAAAATATTTGTAAACCATAAATCTGATAAGGGGTTAATCTCCAAAATATATAAAGAACTCAAACAACTCTATAGCAAGAAAGCAAATAATCCAATTAAAAAATGGGTGATGAGCTTCTCTGGTGGCACAGTGGTTGAGAGTCCGCCTGCCGATGCAGGGGACACAGGTTCGTGCCCCGGTCCGGGAGGATCCCATATGCCGCGGAGCGGCTAGGCCTGTGAGCCATGGCCGCTGAGGCCGCGCGTCCGGAACCCGGCGCCCCAAAAAAAAAAAGGCAAAAAAAAGAAAGGGCCGCATAACCCAAAAAAAAAAAAAAAAAAAAAAAATGAGTGATGGACCTGAATAGACATTTTTTTTCCCAAAGACATACAAATGGCCAACAGGTACGTGAAAAGGTGCTCAACATCACTAATCGTCAGGGAAATACAGATCAAAACCACAGTGAGATCACACCTGTGAGGATAAGTATAATAAAAAAGAAGAGATAACAAAAGTCGGTGAGGATGTAGAGAAAAGGGTGCCTTCGTGCACTGTTGGTGGGGATGTAATTGGTGCAGCCACTATAGAAAACACTATGGCGGTTCCTCAAAAAGTTAAAAGGAGATCTATCATATGATCCAGCAATTCCACTCCTGGATACATATCTGAAGAAACTGAAATCAGTATCCCAAAGAGATATCTGCATACCATGTTCACTGTAGCATTATTCACAACAGCCAAGATATGGAAACAACCATTGATGTTGAGTTTGGCCATGTGTCTTGCTCTGGCTAATAGGATATAGGCTGAAGGGACGAGAGGCCAGTTTCCAACCTTGACATTAAGAGGCAGCAGGGGTCTCCTCTCTCTTCTCTGGGAACTTTCTACATTCGCCATAACAACAACCACCATATAGCCTGGACCCCAGAATGAGAAACCTGGTCCACACCTGAACTTGACCATATAGCCTGGACCCCAGAATGAGAAACCTGGTACACACCTGAACTTGACCATATAGCCTGGACCCCAGAATGAGAAACCTGGTACACACCTGAACTTGACCTGCAGCCTGCAGCAGGGCTGTGCCAGGCAACTCACATATCTGAAAGTGAGAAAGGAACACTAATTTATGATTCTGGAATTGCTTATCACACAGCAAATGGTGACTAATACAGAATCCACCCAGGTAGGAAGTGTTTTTACCTCACCCACTGAGTATAC